CAGCCCGACGCGCTGCCTCCACGCCCCGAGCGAGCGTGCCGGGGTCTCTGCCCCGTCCGCTCCTGCCCGCGAGCAGCGCCCCGGCTCGCGCGCCCCTCCGCATGGCAGGAGGCGTCTCCTCTCCCAGCGCGGCGCTCATCCACCTCAGGAGGCCTGGGAGCAGCTCTCACGGAGAGAGCCCTCCTGCCCCAGGAACAGGCTCTTCTGCTCGCCCTGACACAGTAACAGGCCCCGGTCACCTGCACGGCTCCCACAGCAGCACCGGGGCCAGGCAGCAGTCCCACAGGGGTCACACCGGCTGTTCTCTCCAGTGACAACCACCGAGCACCAGCGGCCAAGGGCTCTGCCGGCTGGGGACCAGCTCAGGGTGCTCGCGAGGTTGCAAAGAGCCAAGAGAGAACATCACACCTTGGAGGAAACCAGCCTCGTTGGCCAGCCACAGGCTGTCTGTCAGGACAGTCCTGGCTCCAGGGCACTCAGCAGCAGGGTGCCCAGCAGCTCCCGCTTGTAGGAGAGCTCCATGATCTGGGAGCCCCCCTGGATGGCACAGATGACCTTGGTGACACTCTGGGTCAGGGTCAGCATTAGCTGCAAGTCTTGCATCCCGGGAGAGAAAAACACAGTGACACCAATGAGTCACTTTCCGCCTTGGAAGGAAGCAGCTTTCCCAGCTGACTTCCAGAAAGAGATCCCACAGACTCTGGCCTGGAGAGAGCAAGTCTGGCAGGCCTGTAATGGGAAACGTGCGCAGGAAGGACAAGCAGCAAGGCTCACTTGTGTAGGACTGGCTTGGGGAGAGATAGCGAAGCGCAGCACCTTGAAAGCGAAAAGGGAAACAGTGGATGGCAATAAACTGCAGACCACTGACATACAGCAATGGCCCCAAATCACCCAGATACTGCAAGACAGAGATGAACCAGAACTGCTGCGTCCTCCTCATCCTCCATACAGGCAGTGTGCAGTTGCCCTGGAGTACAGTTGGGGGTCAAAGGAATCTCAGAAAAACCCCAGCATGAGCAACCAGTGGGATCTGGGGGGGGCCGCAGCACAAGGAGGTCTCTCCAGGTTTCATCTGGGTACCAGTGTGCTGGTGCCTTCCTTAAAGCAGGGAATGGGGCAGCCCTTTGGGAGGACTGGGAGGACGGTGTGGGGCAGAGCTCCGTCCGGTTTGCTCCCCTGCTGTCCTTATCCATAGAGCACTGAGATCGGGGGGGTAAGGACAGGCCCCCGACCAGCCTGGCAGAGAGCAAGGGGACAGTGTAACCTTACAGCCTCCAATTCAGGATGGACCATTTTGGAGAGACGGGCGAATCCCTTCTCCCAGTTAGCATAGATCAAAACCTCAGAGCAGGAGACTGAAGGTGCCGTATTATAGTTGGCCGGCAAATTTGCGCAGGTTGATGAAAATGAACTCCGAGATCTCCCCCAGGACCTTCAGGCGGCACTGGAGCTCACACAGGACGTCACTGAAGTGAGATTGGGCCAGAGCTACCAGGACATCACTATCAGCCGACCTTACATCATCTGTCACACCGTAAAAACATGAGCAATTAATTCAGCGCTCAGCAGGAGAAAGGCTGAGGCAGTTGGACAGGCTGAACTGGCCAGCAACAACCACCTGACTCCAGCTCTTGCTTTCTACGTTGGTGCTAATAGTGAGATAATACCTATTCTCTTCTGCGAGAGCCCATGCCCTGGGCCGTGAGACTGGCCTTTGGGCCCCGGGCAGACGAGAGCAGCTGGTGGATCGCTTGCTCTTTGTGAGTTGTGGGAGGCTTTTCTCTGCCACAGCCACAGCGTTGGCTCTGCTCCCTCCCTGTGGAGAGAGCAGTGAGTGGGAGCAGAGCAGCTCCCAGGAGGTACCAGGAACAAACTGTCTCAGACTCAGGATCCAACAGGACACTTCTGTGTGACAGGAGCCAGCCTGGCAGTTTCCCATGGCTCTTCCTCAAGGCAGGGAAATAAAAGATAACTTTAACCCAACTGTCCGTCATTTATAACACCTGTCAGTCCACCTCTCTGCACAGCTCCTGGTATCACCACACCAAATCCATGAAAAGGATGAGTCCACAAAGTATTTCTCTTCACTTTCTGCACTGCTGAGTGCAGAAAACATGGCCTTGCGTTGTCCCAGCCCAGTCACAAGATGTGGGCACACACATTGCTTGGCATATGGGAGCTGTTCCCGCTCTGTGCATGGTCTGAAGCAGAGCTACCTACAGTCTTTTCTCTACAGGGAGGTGCTCCACCGGGGGAAGGATCTGCCATGGGGCATCTGCAAACCTTTACCAGGTCATAATGCTAGAGACATCTTTAGAGCCATTCTACATTTTACAAAATCAGGGCTCTGGTCAGGTGTCTCCGGTTACCTTCAAAGAGAAGCAGCTCAGCTGAGCTGCTCTCACAGAATCACAGAATGGTTTAGGTTGGAAGGGACCTCTGGAGATCATCTAGTCCAACCTCCCTACTCATGGAGGGTCCTCTAGAGCGTATTTCCCAGGATCGCGTCCACATAGCTTCTGAATATCTCCAGCGAAGGAGACTCCACCACCTCTCTGGGCAACCTGCGCCAGTGCTCTGTCACCCTCACAGTCAGTAAGTTTTTTCTCATGTTCAGATGGAACTTCCTGTGTTAGCTGTTTGTGCCTGATGCCTCTTGTCCTGTTGCTGGGCACCACGGAGAAGAGACTGGCCTCATCCTCTCGACACCTTCCCTTCAGATACTTGTACACACTGATCAGATCACCTCTCAGTCTTCTCTTCTCCAGGCTAAACAGGCCCAGCTCTCGCAGACTTTTCTCACAGGAGAGATGCTCCAGTCCCCTCATCAACTTGGTAGCCCTCCGCTGGACTCTCTCCAGTAGCTCCATGTCTCTCTTGGACTGGGGAGCCCAGCACTGGACACAGGACTCCAGGTGAGGCCTCCCCAGGGCTGAGGAGAGGGGCAGGATCACCTCCCTCGACCTGCTGGCAACACTCTGCCTAATGCACCCCAGGATCCCATTGGCCTTCTTGGCCACAAGGGCACATTGCTGGCTCATGTTTACCTTGTTCTCCACCAGGACTCCCAGGTCCTTCTCTGCAGAACTGCTTTCCAGCAGGTCAGTCCCCAGCCTGTACTGGTGCCTGGGGTTATTCCTCCCCAGGTACAGGACCCTGTGCTTGCCTATGTTGAACTTCAGGAGGTTCCTCTCCGCCCAGCTCTCCAGCCTGACCAAGGTCCCTCTGAATGGCAGCACAGTCTTCTGGTGTATCAGCTACTCCTCTCAGTTTTGTATCATTGGCAAACTTGCTGAGGAGGCACTCTGTCCCTTCATCCAAGTCACTGATTAATACCTTGATCAATACTGGACTCCGTATTGACCCCTGGGGTGGCTGCTGGATACAGATCTCCAACCAGACTCTGTGCCATCGATCACAATCCTCTGAGCTCTGCCATCCAGCCCGT